GATAAAACCAGAACCAAACAGTGACACGAACCTCCGAGCGATCAGTCACTGAACTACTCCTGGACTCTGCGCTCTGCATCCCCGAGCCTCCGACTGTCCCCAGCGGGTTACCCCAGAGCCAGGCCCATCAGCCATCTCCCCTGCCTGTGCCCCACAGCCCGGCCCTGCCCCTCAGCCCAAGCCTCCGTGGCTCCCAAGAGAGAGTCCCTTCTCTGCAGGCTCCTTTGGGGGGGTCCCCCACCCTGTCCTTGCTCTCCGTCTGCAGCTTCGGCAGCTCTACGGCCTCTCGATGTCCCGGTACTTCTTGCGCAGGATGGAGACCTGGTCCTTGAAGAGGACGGGGTCCAGCCGCATCTGCGAATGGACGAGGGGCATGAAGCCGAACCAGCTGGCGAAGGAGTTCATACAGGCCTGGCGCTGGGCAAAGTGCTCCGGGTCGGCCCAGCGGGACGTCTTGGAGCCCTGGGGAGGGAAGGTGGGAGAGAGTCCCTCAGCGCAAAGGCGGGAGGTCCCTGACCATGCAGGAGCTCCGGGGCGTCACTCAAACGCCCAGAGCACAGCGGCCTTGCAGGGATAACGGAGCCTGTCAGAGGAGGGGTGGCCCAGTGGGGGGCGCTAGACCGGGCCACGGGTAACCCAGCTTTAATTCCCTGCTCCGGTAAGTCTGTCTGCCTCAGTTTCCCCATTGACAGCACCTTCCTACCTCAGGAGGCTGTGGGGAGGACAGAGACCACGGCAAGGAGGCTGCAATGAAGGGGCCAGATACGAATCGTATCTAGACAGATTTCACTACCCAGCCGTGCAATGCGCTGCCCACCACCCCAATCCCAGCCACGGGGAAACAGACGCAGCCCGGTGAGCTCACCCAGCAAACCAGCCCCCGCGCTGGACACAGAACCCGGGTGTCCTGACAGCCAGCCCCAAACGCATTCGGCACCATGCGGCATGCCCCCGTCACCCCAGAAATCTGCCCCTGGGTGGAGGGAGCAGTTCGGCCGCGGGCTGCCTGGGCAGCAGGTAATTCAGGGGGTTTGGAAGCAGCGCATGTCGGGAAGGGCCGGGAGCTGAGCTGGCCGAGGCAGTGGCCAACGTTTTCAGCAGCAGCCTCCGATTTTGGTGCCTGGGCCTGATCCTCAGACCCCGGCGGGTGCCCAGCACCGCTGAGAATCAGGCCGCCGGGGCCCCCAGCTGCTGTGGGGAAATTAGCTCAATTTCGATGTGCCACAACCTCCGGTGCCACAGGAGGGCAGCGCAGGGATCCGAAAGGTAACGGCAGCAGGACAGAACTGGACTCTGAGCCACGCGCCAGCCCCAAGCCCCTCCCCACGCAGCGGGGGAATCACCCTCGTCCCAGGGCACGCTGGGGCTGAGCGCAGGGCGCCCGCGGCAGGGGCAGGGGCAGGGGCAGGGCTCTCTGCTGCACAAGGGAGGGTCGGGCTGGATCCCCAGGCTGGCACGGGCTCTCTGTGCCGAGGGCCATCTCCAGTTCCATGCATTCGAGGCAGCCAGGAAACCAACCTGCTGCATCATGGTCTCCTTGTACTGCTTCTTCTGGGTGACTTTGATGGGCGGGAGCTTGGTGACCGCGGAAACCAGGAAGTTCATCAGGATGTCCTCGCAGTTGGCCATCTGGTCCACCATGCTGTGCAGGCTGGCGGGCAGGTAGAAGGTGTACAGGTAATGATAGTACCTGCCAAGGAGAGGGCAAACAGGCAGCGCTCAGCGAGTGCCAGGGGGGTGTGAGACCCCCGGCCAAATTGGCCCCGGTGGGTCTCCTCCCAAGGCAACAGAGACGCGCCAGCGACGGATCTGGCCCATGGTCTTCCCAAGAGTAATTCTGGCCGGAGATGCTCCTGGAGCTGCTAGCACAAGGGTGGCCACATCAGGGAGACCTGCTCTGAGCAGGGAGAGGCGAGACCCTGCAAAGCCAGCAGCCCGTCTGCACTGGGGCTCCCCATTAGCTGGGTGGGGGTGGCAATGGGGTGACAAGGCTTGCAAAGGGCGGGAGGTTACGGAGAAGGCTTTGCTGTCAGCCAGAGCCCTCGTTCGGGAGAGCTGAGGTTGCAGGGGTGTCCCCGGGGAGCCCACTGCTTCGTGTTAGTCTCTCCGTACATTGGCCCTGCTGTACAGCCAGCGTTCACGGCTGGTGCCTGCCGGAGGCTGCCCGGTGCTCTGCCAGGCCAGGCAAACGTTTGTGCCTTGCCAGCAGCACGTCGTACGCAGCCCCCAGCTCCATGTGATTTCCTGCCCAGAGCCGGGTTCCCGGCCGCATGCACTGCCCCCTCCCTCCCGCCCCCCAGCTCACCGGTGGTAGAACGCTGCCCCGGTCAGCACCATGGAGTACTCGTTAGTCCACTTGGAGGTGTACGCCCACCAGCCTTTGCTCTTGTCCCAGTAATGGCTCCGGGCCGGGTAGCCCATCGATGCGCTCCGGGAAGCTACACCACACAGTGAAGGCAAAGTCAACCTGGAGGCCCCGATGGCAGGGGCAGGTCGGGGGGAAGACGGGAAAGGAACGAAACCAGGATTAACAAGCCAGGCTTGGCACGGCAGCCCCGGCACTGACCCTGCCCCGCCATCCGTGGCTAATACAGCTGCGTTCGCCCAGCCCACGGTGTCCTGGGCCGAACCTCTGGCTGGGGGTCTGCCTAGCCCTAGGGGGCAGCGGCCTGGGAGCCTCAGCGCCCCCTGCTGGAGCAGATCCATTTGTCCATGGCCAGAGGAGCCCTGCTGCTATCAGCGTTCATAAGGTCGCCCGTCACCAGGCATCAGAGACTTCTCCGGCCCCTGCTTGGGCATGGAGTTGAAATTTCGGCTTTCTCTAGGCCCGGGCCGTTCCCAAATGCTGCTTCCTTTTGCATCCCAGTGTCTGACCTGCTGTGAGCAGCCGATGAGCAGTGTGGGATACGGCCAGGTGCAGCACGGGCAGATGCTGTGTGAGTCTCCAGTACACAGCTCCGTCGCTGCACCGCAGGGCCCTCCAGACCTGCCCCAGCCTCTGCCCCACCCCGCTCTGCCGGTGCCCCTCCTCCCGCCTCTTCCGCTCTGCCAATGCTGCCCCCAGCCAGCCCCTGGGGCTATCCCAGCCCTGGACTCTCCCGCACCCGGCTCTGAGATGTGCCCCAGTCCTGCAGGGAGGGACAATGGGGATATTGGACCCTCCCCCCCATTGGCCTCACCTCGTTGGTCGATAGGATGGTGTCCTCGTCCAGGCTCAGCACGGCGTCTGTCCGGATGAGCTCGTAGGGGAAGAAACGGCTGCTCATGGTCTGTGCAAGGGGAAAGCAATTAAACCCCGGACAGCCACGCCCCCACCCCGGCCACTGTGACCATGCCCCCAATCCCAGCCAGCCATGCCCCCACCCCGGCCACTGTGATCACGCCCCCAATCCCAGCCAGCCACGCCCCCACCCCGGCCACTGTGACCACGCCCCCAATCCCAGCCAGCCTTGCCCCCACCCCGGCCACTGTGACCACGCCCACCCACAAATCCCAGCCACTGCGACCACGCCCCCGCACCCCAAACCCAGCCACTGCTCCCCTTCCTGCCCTCCCACCCCCAGCAGCGCTGCAGCCCCAGGGCCCCCCTACCTTGTGTTCCCCTTCCACGATGCTGAGTGGCACGGGGACGGACGGCCACCGGCTCCTCGGGGGCGGGGGCTTCTCACAGTTCCACAGCACCACGATCTGCAGCAGGGACAGGGCAGGGCCGGGTTCATGGCAGGGCGGGTTACGGCCCCGACCAGCCCCGGGCTCAGACCTTTGCCAAGCGTCAGCCACGACCAGCCAGCAGCACCGGTCTCGTCCACACCCAGGGCAGAGTTGGGGCTACCATCACGCTGGTCAGCACGGTGCATGGCCTGGGCAGAGACACCTGCAGGGACAGCACCTCAGCCAGATACACCCAGGGGCCTATAGGGACAGGCCCAGACCCACACCACTACCCAACCTCCATCACCGGAAGGGCCCGGACCGACCCCGCCGCCCAGCCTCCACCCCTGGCATAGCCTGGGCCAAACCCGCCCCCCAACCTCCATCCCCGGAATGGCCTGGACCCATCCCCTACCACCCAGCCTCCATCCCCGGCACAGCCTGGACCCGCTCCCCCTATGGTTTTCTCGCCCAGCCCCACCCTGGGGTGGAGGGGCACAGCTCCCACTGTGGCTGGGATCAGGGATCAGACCAGAGGCCAAGGCCCAAGGAGGTGGCGCTCTGTCCCTCCCCCGGCAGGTGGGCCCGTACCTGGGTACAATACTTGGACTTGGCGACCGCCAGGATGAGTTTGACGATGGGCTGGGACTGCGAGAGCAGCGGCGACACGGCCTGGATGACGGCGGTGAACTCCTTGGCCGGGCTTCGCCCTGCAATGACACACGACCTGGCTCGGACTGGCCCGGGCTCCCAGCCAAGCTCAGGGACAAGGGGCCCACGGCAGGCAGGAGGGGGAGGGGAACAGTCCGGCGGCAGCTGGGCAGGGCTGGGGCGGAGAAGATGGACGGAGGAGTTCACAGCACTCTCAGGGCCTGGCCGTGGGGGCAGGGGGGGGAGAATGGCCAAGCAGGGTGCAGCATCACCAGCCCCACGCACTCAGGAGTCAGCCCCCACAATCAGGAGATTGGCTTAAAAATCCCGAGATTTAAAACAGTCCTCAGTGCTGGGCTGGGCTCTGCGCCCCCTGCTCTCTCAGCCGGAGGGGTCGGGCTGTCAAGCTTTTCTTTCACCCCCAGAGCGTCTTTACCAGATGTCAGTCGTTAACAGAGACATCCTTTCTCCCAAGTGGTGTCTGGGCAATGGATGGGTGATAAAAACCAAGTCTGGACCAATCTGACTAAAACACCCTTCCCCTCCCAATCCCTCCGCTTTCAGGCCCCTGTGATGCTCGTAGAGTTCCAGCTAGACAAGACCTGGCTTTCTAATGGAAAAGAAGCTGGAAAAAACACTTAAAAACCCCCTTTCTGGGCTTCTTCGTACGTCAGAGGAAAAGGGGGAAATTCATAAAATCTGAAACCAAAACTAACCCCCCCAGCAGAGTTCTGATCCTGAAAAGGGAGCGTGCCAGGGACTCATTGGTGTCTGGCAGGGATGTCACTAGTGCTACAGATGTTATGTGGACAGTGCCCAGATCCTGGGGTGATGGGCCGCACGGTGAAACCCTAAGACAGACACAGCACACAAAAGGCAGGCCCCTATTTTTGCCTCCCTTTGAAGGGCTGGTTTAGAAAAGGCTGGAAATTTTAAGCTGGATCCTGAAACAAACCAGGAGTCTATGTGCCGGGGATCAGAGAGCGACACCAGACACACCCTGGGTTTGAACCCAGGATCTGTCCCATCAGACCTCTGCCACTCTAGCTAACGGGGTAACGCCATTCACGGGACCGGCCACTAGAAGGGGCTGTGGCGTCGCTGTACGAGTTCTAGCCCCAACCCCGGGGCTGATGCATTAGGTGCAGCCGGGAGGTCAGTGTCTGCAAAGTGCATCCGTGAGCTGGTGGAAGGGCCGATCTCCCCCAGCAGAGACACCCACAAACCCTGCAGGAACCAATCCCCTCCCGTCAATCCTCAGCCTGCCACCAGCTGAGCAGCCCCCCAGCACGCGGGGCTGGCTGGCGGCTGCAGGTAGGAAGGGAGATAAAAGGGAGCAGGAAGACAGGAATGGCAGGATGGGGAAGATTCAGTATGAAGGGCACCTGGGACTGGGGTAGCAGGGGGCTGTGGGTCAGGACTGAGGGGGTCAGCAGAGCTGTGTGTGGGGAGCCCAGGGCTGGGATAACAGGGGAGGTTGCACACTGGGACTGAGGGGGCCGGCAGAGCTGTGTGTGGGAAGCCCATGGCTGGGATAGCGGGCGGGGTGGGCTGCACACCAGGACTGGGATAGCTGGGGGGGGGTCAGCGAAGCTGGACACTGTAAAATGGGCCAGGTCCATTGGCACCGGCACCACGGGGCCCGTGACCGCCCCTCCCTGAATTCCAGCTGTTCTCTAGGGTGGGGCTGACTCGGGAGTGAGTCTCCTGCCGGCTCCTCCCCAGCTATCCGCGGGAAAAGCCCGTTGCCACAGGCTGGGCTGGAACAGCAGGAGGCGCTGCAGGTGCAGGATCCCGGAGCACCAGCAGAGCTGTGGGCGTGACCCACTCATCTTCCACCTCCGCTGCCCAGTCCTGACCAGCAGTGCCCCCCCCCCCCCGGCTATTCCTGTCCTGGGCCGCTCCTGAGCAACCCCCACCCGCTGTAACTCACTGCGCCAAAGCTTGAGGGCCCCACGGCCCCACCAGGAGAATCCGAAATCCACGACCCCTCTATATTCTGCTCAGCCCACGGGCTGTTACCCCATTGGGGGTTCCCAGCCCAGCCTGGGAACCAGGGACTCCAGCCCCGATGCCTAGCCAGGCCTGAGCCCCACCGTGCCATTCCAGGACCTGGCCTCTCTCGCCGTCGCTGCCGCCTACCCAGGGCGAAGTAGTAGAAGGGGAAGTCGGCGAGGCTGGTGGAGAACTGGGGGAGCGCGTAGAGCCCGCCCGGCTGCGCGTTCCACATCACGTGGTTCCTGCTGACGTGCGCCTGGATTCGGTCCTGGATGATCTGAAAACAAAGAGGGGGCCGGGGGAGCCGCGTTACTGACCCTGGGCTAGGCCATGCGAGGCTCAGGCGTGGACGCTGCACTGCCCTGGCCTCCAGCTCTGCCCCATATACCCCAGGGCGGGAACCAGCACGCTGGGCCACACGGCACAGCAATCTCTGTTAGTGGCTGGAGAGCTGGGCTGGGCTCCTGCCCCCCACTGGGTTTGTCTCGGTTAGGAGACGAGGTGGGTTAATCTGGGGTTAGCGAACACGTGTTACCTGGCCCCAGCACAGCCGCGACCTTTCCCCAGTGTAGACGCAGGTTAACCCCCCTCGTCGCCAGGCAGCTGGGCAAGGTTGACCCTAGAGGGGCCTAGACTGGAGGGGAGGCCAGCTGGTGCCGATCAGCTGCTGGACGCCACAGGAGCGAGTCGGAGCAGTGAGCGTTGGGGATTTACGGCCCCGCGGGGAGCTGGCAGCAGGCTTGCTGAGGGTCACACTGGGTGGCTGGGGAGCGGGAATCAAACCCGGGTCTCCCAGATCTCCAAACTGCTGCACAGCCACGGTCAGGCTGGCAGCGAGCGACGGTTACTGCTCACTTGTGTCATTGGGCCCTCGTCATCCGCCCGGTTCTGGCTGGCTCCCCTCCCCGTTGTGTCTACATGGAGCTCTGTGGGCCTGGGCCAGCGTCTCTCACTGAAAGGTCTGTACAGCGCCTGGCACCAGGCCCCGAGCCCCCACTGAGATCTGCCGGTGCAGGGCCCCAGCCGAGCGGGAGCCATTACACGGGGCCAAGGGCTCTGATCACATTGGTGCAGCCGAGACGAACTGGCTGGGATATGGCCGCACGCCAGCTAGAGGAGCCGGACCAGGGGTGCCC